TGAAGGTTGTCCTGTTGCCATATATGAACCACAAGCAAGACCAACAGCAGATCCTTCATTGGCAGTAATAATATGATGGCTAGACGGAACATTTTTTGTTACGTAAGCACAAAAATCTTAATCAATTAAGTATAATTCTATTGATTTGAAAATTTATATACATATACCTTTGAGTAAAGAATCTGGTACACCACAAAAAAAGTTAATACCACAGATTGTTTTTATTTGTTGATAAAATTCAGCTGGATCAAGAAAATCACGAACTAATCGAGGCATATCTCGTACTTTTTCATTTCGTTTCTGTTGTTCTTTTACTTGCTATTAAATAAATGATGATAATACTATAAATCCATTATAGAACTTTGAATAGGATGGAATAAAACAAAGTTCTTATCCTATGAGATTTCATTCTTAATTTTCTCTGATAATCTGATCTATGATATCACACTTCAGCTAACATTATAAGAATAAAATTTGCAACAGAGCTTGCTTGATTATCATATACCAATGATTATTAATTTTCTTTTTGTTTTTCTTCTCTAGTATCTATTAATACCTCATCGTCTATACATACACATAAAAATCATTACTAATAAACGATACATACTTGTTCAATATTTTCAGATGTTGTTTCAATAACAAGACTATCAGATCGTACTTCGTCTTCAGCTTCTTCTCGATTTTCACGAAACCATTTCGACCATTCTTCAATGGTCTTAAGAGAAGGCGTTTCATCACCACAAGCAAAACATAGTTCTTCGTGAATATCTTTCGCTTGAACATTAAGTGCAGTACGCACTTTAATGTAGAAGCGAAAATTTTCTTTATTCATCTAAAACAGAGATGAATATTGTCAAGATTTAATCGAATGTTATTTTTTAAGTTTCTTGAGAGACGAACGTCTAAGGATTAAGGAATATGAGTTTCTGTTCAATTCTCCCACAGTTTCTTGAATACTACAATGAAAAACAAAATATAGTATCCACGATATTTTTTTACTCTCACATTCAAATAGTCCTAGCAACGTTGACAAATCTTCTGTAAATTAAGAACCCATTTTTCTCAGTTCCTGAACACCTTTAGATCAAATCTTGTATTTTGTTCAGTAGTAATATGATTGACAGGTATTTTTGTTTTGTTTTTAAATAAAAATAATGAGCAAGAAGTCACCCTACTCTCATCGTTAATTTTTTTACGTATTGAGGTTAATTTAGCAAATCAAAGTTCGAAAATAGAACTATATTTTCGATATTATATATATATATGTGTTACATTATTTAAATACGACATATTGCCAATAATGATTACGTTGATTTGCTGATTCTTGACGATTTCTATAATCAATCATCTTGAACTATTATTTCATATTGTCGATTAGATGTAGGAAAGATCGAAAGGAAAAATATCGAATATTCAATGAACAAGACATTCTTAATTTTTGACATGAGACTAACATCATAATACAGACGACACACAAGTCACGAAATAAAAAGAAAAGAAAATTTTAGAAAGTTTTATTTTTTTTTGTTTAGCAACTATAGATGACAAACCACTTAGATATTCCTTTATATTTATCAGCTCATTATAATATCGTACTCTTGTAGTGAAGTGAGTATATATTGTTTTTCTAGAGGTTGACAGTCACATTGTAATCAATTGATCATTCGAATTTTATGAAAACTTTCAATCAGCTTACATATCGAAAACAGCTGTTTGTCATGATAATATATTTTCATTTGTATAATACTATTTTATTCTTCTGATTATTCTAGCTAGCTCTTTTCTGTCAAATATTACTCATCATCTTTACTAATGGCTATATCACGAAACCAATAGAATGAGCAGAACAATAATAATAAAGATAGACGATATAAGTTAGCGTTTACTAGAGACAACTTTTTTTTCAACATTTTTCTTTTCGATCTTTCTATTACTAGAGCCAAAAATGTTTTTTAGTACTCTGACAAATAATACGAAAATTAGATACTAAGATAAATAAATAATAAATCATTATAATACGCAAAATGATCTATAGATTCTTTGATATATTATTGAAACTTTTGAGGACGAAATTTTATTTTAACTGTCGCCATCCTGGCATAAAAATTATGTATTAGGTTTATAATAATTTTAGACATTCAAGCTCAATTTTCATAAATGTTCTTTTTCAAGTTCTTTTATATACGTTATCTGCCATGGTTTTACCCATTGTTTCAAGCAAATCGATTATTTGATAAAGTCAAAAACAATTTGACTTCATCAATGAAACCAGAAAAAGAAGAATCAAAATCTTCTAATATATTCTCGAAAGACAATATGTCTATCAAAAAAAAAGAGACACATGATGATGATACTCTAC